AATATAAGATGTCACCACCAGCATGTGAAAAGCACACATTAATATAAAATGTCACCACCAACATGTGCAAAGCATGCTCCTGTGCCCACTAGAGGGGACGCAGGAGATCTCTGAATCAATAAAATAAATGATAATAAATTGCTCACTCTCCTGTCCTGTGTGCTTTGGGACCAGGACTGTCCTAAGTGCTTTAGGCATTTTAACCCACTTAATTCTCACACCAACAACATCCCTATAAGGTAGGTATTATTATCTCAGTTTTACAGATGGGAAAACTGAGGCTCAGAGAGGGTACATAATTTGCCCAAAGTCACACAGCAAATGAGTGGGTGAGTTAGGATCAGAACACCGGCTGTGTCATGTCCAAGTCTGTGTAGGCAGGAGCAGCCGATGAGGCTGAATGGAAAGCCAGGGTCTTAGAGGGTTTTTAGTCTAGTAGCCCCCAGTCTTGGCTGCCCATTAGAGTAACTTGGGAACTTTTTTTTAAATCACAATTCCCAGGCTCCACGAAGACCAACGAAACCAGAACCTCTGGGGAGCGACCTGGGCATCTACATGTGTGTTAAGGCTCCTCCAGGGACTCTGACACACAGCCAGGACAGAGAACTGCTGTTCTCCTCCTGCCCATTTTACAGGTGAGAAAACTGAGCCCGAAGGTCAGCGACTTGCCCAAAGTTGCACCATCGGTGCCAGAGCAAAGATGCAGGACCGTCCTTCCACCACTCTTCCCTGTCTTCCAGACTGTCACTTCTCAAAAAAAAAAAAAATGAGATTATAACCAGGAATCACTACGTCCCACAAGGTGTTGGGGGGTCCTAGAAATACTGCTTCACTTAATCATTCTGCAACCGAGACACGAATAAGTGCACAAAGAAGACATCCCAGAGGGGCGCAGATGGCACCGACAGGGGCGGGAGGCGTCCTCCCTCTCCAGTTTTAGACGTGCCTGCAGTGAGCAAGGTTCATCTTACTCCTGTAACAAAAAATACTCACACCCCCGCCTCTGTTGAAATAAAAAAATAATAAGTTTTTTGAAAGACATTGATTTTTAGGAAAACAGATCTGAAGATAAGTGTTAACCCTTTCGATACGCTCTTCTTTAAAGAAGCCTTTCGAACCACGAACCAGCAAGGACCTCACACAACGTTTTGGCTTGACCTGGTCAGGCCTCCTAATCCGCCATTGTCGTTCTTCTTTAAACGGCACACAGGCTTCGTTCTGGAAATGAAAACAAATTCCTTGCCCTTCTAGGAAATGGGTGGAAAAATCGATGTTTATCCCATCCCCAGCCTCATTGACTCTCTGTAAGCCTCGCTGTGCTCCTAACGCTTCCTCTGGCCACCAGCTCCGTGAGCCAAGGCTGCAACGAGGTCTTCGACTGATAAAACTTGCATAAAACACACAACACGCAGCCAGCACCAACTGCTCTGGACCTTGATGAATAATTTAGAAACAAATTACCCTTTTCCAAATGAGCCCAATAAAGCCAGACTCACGGCAGGGCACCCGCTGACCTTACCTCCCCAGCCGTCACGCCTCCAGCTGCCATAATTAAGGCGCCAGTCCTAGTCCAAGAAGAATTCGGCTGAATTAAACCTGATTAAGGGAAATGAAGTGCCTCTTTCTTTTCCCTTCCCCTACAAAAGAAAAAATGTGCAGGCAAGCTAATCTCTAAACTCCATTTCCACGGGGTACCACCAATCAGGCCAGAGCTCTGGCCACATTATTACCTTGTTAAGATGTTCAACAGTTTTATCCCATTGGGTGCCAATGGAAATTTTTAAATCTTCCCTTTCAAAGTCTGGACCATAATTTATCATACTTAGATAGCTTAAAGTATGATATTTAAGGTTGGCTGCTTGGAGAAATGGCGGATTCCAGGCGGGGACAGGGGAGTGCAAAGTTGAGTCTGGGACATCTTGTTGGGCCAGGTGCTCAAAAACTAAGAGGAAATGTCGGAAGGACACCAGAGCCAGCTTGAAGGGATTCCCACGGAAGTCTCTTCTCGATGGAAGAATGCCAACTACTAAACAAGGAAAGAGTAATGGAAGCAGGAAATCGCTCTTTTACGACCACCACAGAAATAGTTAATTCCGGCAATGACTTCATGAATGCGAGTTATTGGGCGAAAGACGGCAAGCAAACAGGATATTCCCACAGTATCCGTAGATTACATATTATTTATAAAGGCCAAAAGGTACCTTTACAATGGAGAAATCTGGGGGATGTCACCTTAACTGAACCATAAACTTACTGCCAATGAGAGAGAAAATTGTCATCCTGTGCCCACATGGCATCCCCTGTATCTTGCCAGAGTGTTTAGCCTAAATCAAAGTATGTGGGAAAAATTCAGGCAAAGCGAAATTAAGAGGCATCTTGCAGAAATAGCCTGGACGCTTCAGAAATGTTTACATCGGGAAAGACAAAAGACAGGAGAAAGCCGTGTGATGGTGAAGGCAGAGGCCAGGGTGACGCTTCTGCAACCCAGGCAATGTCAAAGGTCGCCGGCAAAGCACCAGAGTGAGGGAGAGGCACGGGACGGGTTCTCCTTCACGGCCTCGGGAGGAACCAGCCCTGCTGACATCTCAGACCTCCAGCCTCCACAACCGCGAGACAATGAATTCCATCGTTTAAGCCACCCCGTCTGTGGCACTGTTACGGCAGCCACAGGACACCCATATGCCCCCAAGTGGCTGCTCACATGGTGTACAGAGTTGCCAGGTGAGCAGATTCTAGAGAAAGGCTGTCCCTGCCATTTACTCACTCTACAGACGTGGGCAAACTCTGAACAGCACTGACCCTGTCACCGTCTTGACCATGGCGGTAAGAGCAACACCACTCACGGGGCTGTCAGGCAGGTTAACTTGGTGAATATTTGAGAAGAGCTTAGAATACTGCCCGATACTTGGTAAGTGCTATAGAGTGCTGTTTATTATTGTTACTATTATTATTTTGCTTTGGCTGTAGCTTTGTTCTGCACTTTCAAAGATCTCAAGTAAAGGTGTTTTCATAATAGGAAAAGCTTAGACCAAAAGAAAAGTTCTTAGCTTCTAGGCCCAGCTTTGCCCCACCAGCTATGTGGCCTGGATAGAACCATGGCATTTCTCTAGGTCTCCCTTCCTCTTTTGGAAGATAAAGAAATTAAAATAAAACTCCAGCGCCCCGACCCCACCCTGTCCAGGCCAACTCAGAGCTCGCAGGCTCTGTGCAACCTTTCAAGAAACGTGGTTAGAGTTTCTGGTACGCCAAGAACCCTAGAGGAGATTCTTTGGGGGGATCTAAATGTCCAAGTTATGTCACTTAGTCAAGTTAAACAATATATAGAGACTCGATACTTTGAAATACATTGTGGATTTGCTGGGTAAAAAATGAAGCGTCATAATTGCACTGAGTTGGAAGAAATCCAACAGGACCTGAACACCTTCCTGAAACACTAGGACTTGCTCCATATTGTCTCAGAGGGTGGGATGAAACTGGTGCAGCGGTGGGTAAAAGCTAGAGGAAAATGTTTACTCCAACTATTAGTCTCTGAATCTGACGCTCTTTTATGATAAATAACCAGCAAGATTCTCAATGGTTTTCAAATGCAATTAGGAAAGAGAAAAACGTTAAGATGGAATTTAACAAGCAGACGAGTTTACAGGGTCATTAAACTAACAGCAGACGTGACTTGCCTTCATTAGCGGCCCTACCTGAAAATCAAGTTCGCCATATGATTTTCCTAGGCACTGTTGATGAAGGAGAATGACACAGTATACAGCATGAAATAACAATGTATCTGATGCAAAGCAGAGTCTGCACTTACCCAGGGCAGGCTGAACCACAGTGAGGTTCACACTTGCAGACTTGTGGGCCTGCAGGCTCCTCAGAGTGGCCACGCAAGTCAAAGTCCCATTGCCCTGCGGCGTGAGAGCCAGGATGCTCCGCGCACTGTGAAGGTCTCCGGGCTCCGGCACAGAGTAATTGCTGGCCTGGCTGACGGGGACGCCGACCTCCCAGGAAAACTCCGGGAGTGGGGTCCAGCCCAACGCTCGACAAGTAACATTACAAGGCTCATCCTCAGTGACCACAAGACTAGCACTGGGGATGAGCAACACTCCCATAACTAAAGGAGAAAAGAGAGAAACATTCTGAAGAGATGACAGTGCCTCTCAGGTTTTGTATTTCTTTTTTTTTCTTTAAATTTTTGCTTCAAATCACATTTCATGAGACCAATTTTCCCAAGCCCCAAAGGCTGTGTCTATACCAGGAAACCTTAACTCAGGTTTTATCTGTGTCTTTTTTTTATACCTGCTGGGTTCTCAAAGAAGGTGAAGTTGCTCCCAAGAAAACATAAAATTACATGGAAAATGAATAAATGAAAATCAGGAACCAGAGGAAAATAATTATATGGGGAAGAGAAGGCAGATGTCTGTGCCATAGGAGGCTACACAGTCACTGAAGTGGAGCTACAAAATTGTCCTGGGCTGTCCTGGCAGCAAAGGCAAAAAGGGGAAACAATCTCCACCTTCTTTTCAATGTAAGGAGGACACATACCAGCGTGGGAGGCAAGCCTCTCCTGGACTTTTGGTCAGATTCATTTTATTTATTTTGGAGGTCACATATTTTTTGAACATAACTTCCTATGATATTGCCTTAAAATATTTCTTGTTACAAATTAAATCAACATCTACTCTAATTACAGAAGTAACTAACCCAGATCATATACCAGAATAACTTAGGTAAGTTATTTTTAAATTTTTGTGAAGAACCCACTTGCAGAGGCCAGTGTTCCCGCTGTAAATAACTCGTATGAAAATAGCGCTTGTTTTTGCAAGTGTTACTGGAATAACCTAAGGATTGGTCCCAGGAAAGACACAGCCTCGGTGAAATGTCCACATTAAAACATGCTAAAACTGCCGGCCGCACAGTACAGTGGAAAGAACACCAGACCAGGAATCAAAAACCTATTCTCAGTCCTGGCTCTGCCACAAAACTGCCATCGCCTTGGGCGACTCACGGAAATTGTGGGCTTCTCTGTTCCTCGCCTGTCTGGTGAGACGATTTGACCAGATCAGCAGTTCCCAAACATTTTCGTTTCAGTGCCGTTTACACTTTTCAAAATCATTGAGGACTCCAAAGACCTTTCATTTCTGTGAGCTGTAGCTACAAATATTTATCATATTTGAAATTAAAATTAAATAATTATTTTAAAATATTTATCTAAACATAACAATAACTCATTACATGTTAATTTAGACTAACATTTTTATGAAAAAGGATTATATGTTTAAACCAAAAAAGTTAATAAAAAGAGTGGCACTGTTTTACACCCATGCAAATCTCTACTGTCTGGCTGTACTCTCATATCTGTTTCTTTATTCAGTCTGTTGCAATATACTGCTTTGTTTGAATGATGTAAAGAAAATCTAAACTCACATAGATATGTAGTTGGAACAGTGAGGAGGGTTTATTAGCTTTTTCAGATAATTGTGGAGATTCTTATATACTCAACAAGTAACGTTTTTTTAAAGGTTGGTTGCACTGTGGATCTGGAACTTTCATTCTCTGTTGCATTAAAATCCATTGCACTATCTGGTACTTTGAATGGATCTTTTACCCTTGCGTGATTCTGTATCATTATACTTCAGTCATTTGGAAAATGCTGGTCCACTGAGTTACTCGGACCTTTCCAATGTGCAGTGGAAAGCTCCCATGCACATTTGTGAGAACAAGAGTAAAAAAGGCAGCTAACGTCTTAGTATTATTATGAAAACAGTCGTGACCACACAGGCCATCCTGAAAGGGTCTATGGGTGTGCCCAGGAGTCCCCAGACTACACAGAGCTGGATCAGCTTGGAAAGACCTTTCTACTCTGAAATGTTAGATTTCCAATTATTCCTTTCCTGAATATTCTCTTAAAATAGGTAAGGCGCTTTGGCTAAGTCAAGGGCCACTGTAAATGAAAATAAGTAGAAAAAGGATTTGTTCCTTAAATCTAAAAGGTTTTGTGATTGTTCTTTAGTCTGTTTATTGTTTTGTTTTGTTTAGTGGAGAGGTGGTTTCAGATGCCAGGAACTGGGAGGAATGGCATTGCCTCGGTTAGCAACAGAGGATCTTGAACTTAATCAAGTCCTTGTGGCCCACAGAATGTAAGAGGTCTAGAGTTCGCTGTGCAATCAGTTGGTGGATCGAGCCGTAACTAGACCAATACAGCCATCTCAGACACTTTCTTTTTCTGTATACAATCAGGATTCAACTTTTTCCCACTGGCTTTCACAAACGTTATCCAGGTGCGTGACAAACAGGTCACACAAAGTGATTGCTGGAGTATTCGCATAGATCTTAGATGACTCAGTTTGGAGTTACGTCAGCTCTCTTTACTTTTCTTGTTGACATATAAGGAGGGGGGAAAAACAATCATTGGATAATTCATGGGTGTTTCTTCTTTTTTCAAGATTCTTTCTCCCTTGAGGGAGACCCAGCTGCTCAGAGAACACTTGCTTCTCTGGGAACTAAGTGCCACCCAGACCAATGAAACCAGGGTGAAATGATCGAGTTCTGTCCCAGCTCTCTGGGTTCCCTCCGTGTGACCTTGGGGAAGCCTTTAACTTCCCTAGACGCTTGCTCTTCCGTCTGTATTAGAACCAAAAACTACAGTAATTACCAATCTATCAAAATGCATGTTAGGGTATTCAGACAAATTGGTAGATTTATGGCTCTCGGAAAAGATGCTACAAAACAACGTGGATTTATGAATTTGATATGTCGTCACTATAGCAACCATGAGCCATGCCTTTGATCCTGCATTTCCCTGACCGAGGGGTGCCGTCCTGCTCTCTGGCATCCTCATTTGGCCTACCATCTACCGACCTCCACGGCACATCTCGAACGGCACCGTCTCCGTGGAATCACCCACGGAGGCTTTGCTGACTGTCATCTCCCATCCCCTGCACTTGCCAGCACCTGTGTGGCACCCCGATTATTTGTGTGACTTTCATCATCCACTCTTCTTGTGAGGTTCTTCAGAACAAGAATTGTGTCTTAGTCTATTCATTTTTTTTTTTTTTGAGTCACCCTTAAATACCTGACACGAGGGCATGCTTTCATTGGGAACGCAATCGATAACAGCACATGGCCACATGCGGACTGCTGTACGCTAGCTGCTGTGAAGGCTTTACACGGACCTACTCACTTGATGGCACAACGGCCCTACGATGAGGAAACTGGAACACAAAGTCATTAAGTAACGTGCCCAAGGTCACACAGATTGTAATAAACAGGGAACGCGCACCCAGGCAGCCGGGCCCCTGAGTCTGCACTACTAACCGCTAGAGCGCTCTGCCTCCCAACTGAATGTGCAGAATTAAGAGAACTTTGGAGTCTTCAAACCATCCTCAGTCAATTTTTCACCTGATCCTCACAGCAAACCGGTGAGGTGGGCGGGAAGCTTTATCCCAATTTCAAAGATGAAGAAATTGGGCCATCCCAAGAGTCTCTCTGGAGGATAACTGGTGAAGTCAAAACCAGCATTTATATCTTTGATTCCTTTTCCTGTGTTCTTTCCTTTATACTACAAATTATTATAACAAGAATCTGGTCATGCAAATTAGGCCAATAGTCCTAGGTAGCTTTATAAAATCACTTATTTAGAAAATATTACTGTACCCCAATTAAATCACACAAAATTAAAGACACACAAAAGTAAAGGTACACAAGTTCAGCTAAATTTCTAAAGTAAAAAGGAATTTTGAAGATACAAATAGAAATAGGTAGAAAGGTCTCCACCAAATGTTATCAAATCTGATTTGACAGCAACGTGAATATGGAAAGAATCTTTGGGAATTCCTTCTAGACAAGTAAATAAATTGATATAAGAAATTATTTCAAAGACATAATGTAGTCTCTTACTGCCATAGAAATTAGGAATTCTACTCGTTCCAATGCATCGATATTAGAGTATAAATATACTTTTAAAAAATGCAAAGTGATTCAATTTTGGTAAGACTATTCCAAATCCTTATAAAGCATTCTTTTACTTTCTTTATCGTGCAACATGATCTTCGGCACCTCAAAATTACCTTTCAAAATGAAAAATAAGTTATCCATTATTATAAGTTTTGTATACTCTTGTCTTCTCTCTCAACGACTTGATATATTTGGTGAACACACACCTTTGGCTATCATCACCACTGTAGCTGGGGGCAGGGAAGAGAAATCGATTGGGGAAATTCCACTTGGAAGAGGAAAAGTTCAAGCATGCTCCAAAGCTGATAAATGATGTAAGCAAAGAAATGCAGCCAAGTGCATGAAAAACTAGAGAAAGGGCAGCAACCGTCAACTATCTCTAAACCAAAGAAAAGTGACTGCAACCGGCCCCAGAAGAATTCCAGGATGTATTTCCAGAAGTTATTAGACACTGAGATGGATTAGATGGGCAAGTGATAAAATTCGTCTCTAACAGTGTTAATAAGGAAAAGAGGAAAGGAAAGAAGGAAAGAGAGAGGGAACCGAGCAGGGAAAGGGGAAAGAAGAAAGGGAGGGAGGAAGAAAGGAGAGAAATCTACAAATTAACAAACATTAGTCCATTTAGAATAATCCTAAGCCTATTGCCAGGCTGACCTATTGAAGGCTGACCGTGCATGAAAGAAGGGAGGAAGGGAGGGAGGGAGGGAAGGAGGGAGGAGGAAAGAGGTGACAGATAGACAAACCACAAAACACAAAACACAAAAAAAATGATGCCAGTTCAGCATAGTTGTAAGTATAACACCAACTGAAGGTGGACCGTGTCATCCCATACGGCATGAACCTCAGAAGGTCCCTTCCGGCCCTCTGACATCCAACCCAATGGACTCCAGATGCTCCGCGTTGGAGCCACCTGCAAACACACCTTGGACCGAAAGGAAAGCAGATGCATCCCGGTTACTGTTCTGGAGGCTGCATTTGACCTGCCCAGAATCGTTGAGCTGCACGTCGTGGATGATCATCTCAGAGACGAAGTTGTCGCCCACGTCATAGCTCTCGGAGGTGAAGCGGTCGTTGGTGATGATGGGCTCCGTGGGCGTCACGCTCAGCACCACGGTGCCTTCCAGAGCCCACATGATGAGCTTCCAGCCCTGGGAGACGGTGCAGTTGAAGCGAGCCTCCGAGCCCTCCAGGACCGTTGCATTCTTGGGACCTTCTACGATTTGGTAGCCGGATCCAGAAGCTGGAAGACAACCACGTTTTCAAGTTGGTAAATGAATCAATCTACGTAAATCAGCTGTGCGGTTTCACCCTTCTGTATTCACAGTTGCAGCGCCCGGGTGTCCCATCCAATGGCTCAGACTCTGTGTGTCCTACTGGTCCTAACACCAGGTATCCCTGCTTCCAGCAGACACAAAGCCACCGCTGTGCCCCCCTTTCCACTCCACTCCCCTCAATCCATGGTCGCACTGGGTTGAGCAGTGTTCCCCAAAAATTCATGTCCACTGATCCTCAGAGTGTGACCTTTGAAAATATGGTCTTTGCAGACGCAATTAGTTAAGGATCTTAAGATGGAATCAATCTGGATTTAGGATGGACCCTAAATCCAGTCACAGGTGTCCCTACAAGAGAAAGGCAGAGGGAGATTTGGGCACAGAAGCACACAAATAAGAACACCATGGGAGGATGGAAGCAGAATGATGAATGATGCATCCGCAAGCCACGGAAGGCCAAGGATTGCCGGCAACAGACCCTCCCTCTGAGCCTCAGTAAGGAAACAGCCTATCTACTGGCACTACCCCAGGACTTGCAGTCACAGCAGCGGAGCCTGGACCCAAACTCCGACCTTCCCACTCTGAATTTCATGCTCTTTCCCCTCTGATGTCACTCAGAGTGACATCCTGGCAGACCACACACCTAGCTTTCTTCTCAACCGTGCATCAGTAAGACTGTGACACATTCCTCTTAGTCTCTGGTGCTGCGTGATCCAGGGCGCTGGCCAGCAGCCTGCCATATGCGTTGGTTGGGTGTCCCCAAATAACCGTGGCTCCCCTTTCCTTCCTATCTTGCAAGGCCAAGTGATAAGGCTGGTTCTAAAACAGTCTCATCACAGCCCTTGGGGTTTCTGGGGAGGAGCCAGGCTGGCGGACACACAGTGACACACTGACACTCACCTAAGCACCCAGAACACACTGCGGGGTGGCCCTGGCTCCCCCGGGGGGGACTCGCTGATGGGCGAGAGTGAGCTGCCGCACAACCGGCCCCACTGCAGCAGGAGCGGCATGGTGGCCAGGGTCAAGGAGGGGCCCTGGCTTGGCAGAGGCAGAACTGAGGAAGGGCGGAATTCACTAAGCCAATCTGGTGTCCGGGTAAGCACAATCTCTACTCTTTGCGTTGTCCCTCCCTGGGCATGACAGGAGAAGAGAGGAGTGACTCTAAAACACAACTCAGGGCAGGTCTTCCGCCCGACCCCTGGGGCAGGTCTCTCTGCTCCAAGATTCCTTTAATCTTTCATGTAAAAAAAAAAAATCTCAGGAAGGGAAATCAGAAACGATTCCCCAGGGAAGCCGCAGCCACTGGGCCAACTCGGCCCTTTCGATGAACCCCGAAGTGCATGTTAAGAAGGAGGCCTGGCGTGGTGGCTCACACCTGTAGTCCCAGCACTTGGGGAGGCCGAGGGGGGAGGATCGCTTGAGGCCAGGAGTTTGAGACCAGCCTGAGCAAAATCGAGACCCCCGTCTCCACTAAAGACAGAAAAATTAGCCAGATATGATGGTGTGCGCCTGTGGTCCCAGCTACTCAGGAGGCTGAAGCAGGAGGATCACTCGAGCCCAGGAGTTTCATGTTGCAGTGAGCTATAATGACACCACTGCACTCCAGCCAGGGCTACAGAGCAAGACCCAGTCTCAAAAAAAAGAAAAGAAAAGAAAAAAAAGAAGAAGAGGAGGAAGAAAAAGAGAAAAAAGAAATAGCCAAATCTACACCCCAAGGAAAGCAGGACAGGCCACTTCTCACTCCTTGCTGTAATGACCCAGCTCCTCCTGCACCTCTGCTTCAGGTCATGGGGATCACAGGGTCAGAGCCCCGCAGGATAGGGCAGGCAGTACCAGGGTGGGTGCGCCCCAGGCTGGCCCTCCCAGGACCTCTTCCCAGGCAACTTCCTCAGAATAAGCAAACCCTCTGAAACCGTAGTTCCTTCCACTGCGTTGTGTGCGACGGTGAGATTATTTCACTCCCAAGCCAGTCCTTACACGCCCCACGGACTGCACGTGTGACCAAGGAATCAGCAAATATTAATACACGTAGGCTCCGTACCCTACGCTGCAGCTGGGGAGGTGGAAGAAAGGGAGGAAGGAAGGGAAGTCCTTGAGTTGCATTTGACCTTACAATTAATCAGGAGGCACCAAATCCTAAGCCCGAATGCCCCTGACATGGTGCTGGCTGTCCTTGCCCAGGTAAACTGCCCTCCGGCTACGCCTGGAGACTCCGAAGCTGTATTTCCAGTAATCTGAGGTCCTGAATCTCATTCCTGTCTCATCTGTGTCTTATCAGTGGTGGGGCGTGTAACCCTGCCCTACGCAGAGCAAACACGCGAACAGCAAATAAGACCTTTGTCAGTCGCCTACCTCACCTCGAAACCTCCCTTTAGCCTTTGCTCCGCCTTCTCCTCTGTAGAGCAAAGAGGCAGACAGGGCAGGGCAGTGAGAGAGCTCCTGCCCGGGACCCTCCCTGCGGCCACCGGCGACACTGTCACCCAATACCAGGTCCCAGCCTCTGCTGTCCCCATGATGCCCTTGTAGGAGATTATCCACATGGAAGATTCTCATTCATGCCAACTCTCCCCAGCTCACAAATCCACGTCTCCGCCCCGGCTTCCTGCTTTCTCTCTTGGCCGCCCACGAGGACTGCAAAGATTCCGTTTCTTCTACTCACTCCACCCTAATGTCTGCAAAGCGTAAATCACCCACACGGTGGCTCGCTTGCCAGCCTCTGTGGCTCCTGCCTGTCCTCCCCAAGTTGACACTAAATACAAGTGTCATTCTTCTGCCACGCCTGCTCCCAGCTCCCGATTCTCTGGGGCATAAGGGGCTACACCCACCCCGCCTCTTTGGGCCTCCCTGGCTACATCTGAGGAGCCCTCACCTCTCCTCTCTTCCCTGGAGTTTGTAATGGATGGGAGCGCCAGACCGGAGATGTAGGTTGACAGGAGGAAGGGAAATGAAATGGAGGGCAGAAGAGAAGGGCTTTGGTGACACAGCTTCAGAAGGAAACGATGGGAGTCAGGATGTGTCAGACGTGGGAACCCACAGGAGGAAACCGAGAAGTGAGGGGGGTCCTGGGCTGGCCCAAGCTGCCCCCAGGTCCCGCTGATGGTGGCAGGAGTCAGTGTCCCACTGAGCCACCCCCACCCCCCCTAACCTGTGGCAGCCAGAGGGGGATTCTCAAAACACGAATCTGAGCTGGGACCCCTCCCCTACTTCCACCTCCACACTTTGAAAGATCAATGTCGTTTAGGATAAAAACCAGATAATCCTTAACATTATCACATTTTAAGACCCAACTTAGCTCCACATCAACTTTCTCCCTAGCTGCAATTTGTCCTAAACTCCACCCTCCCGCCACTGGACCGTCTAATTTATCAAACTCACCAACTCTTTCTGGCCCCAGGACCTTGGCACATGCAGTGACCAGCCTGGAGTGCCAGCCTCACTTGCTCCTCAGCTGCCGGCCCTGTCATCTCCTCCCCAGGGAAGCCTTCCCAGACCACCCTATCTGGGCTACAATTCTAGAACAGGGTCTCAAAGCAGCAAAGCAACTGTCACAGCGTGGTTTTATATTTATTTTTGCTCACAATTTCATACTTGTTTTCCCGACCAGGCTCTAACCCCTGTGTTTGCAAGGACTATGCCTGGTTTTACTCGTCCGAGGGCCTACGACTAAGTGGCATATAACAAGGGTCCAGTGAATATTCACTGAGTGAAGAGCAACGTGGCTGAGTTCTGTACAGCCCATTGTACGGTAAGCAAGGTGGAGGGGGCGGGCTGGGTGCACACAGAGGCTGCTCTTGGCTATTCAGAGCCAAGTCTATAAATGAAGACGATTCTGCCCACGGGACTTCCCAAGATGAATCATCGGAGGACTTCAGTGTTCATTACAAATGTGGGGATGACCCCGTCTCCCTGGGGGCTCTGGAATTAGCCCATAATACTCTCCTCTCCGAGAATAGCCATCTCCAGGCCTCAAGCCAGAGCCTCTCTGCCCTCAAAACAGTACTTAAGCCTCAGCTTCCCCAGGGAAAAGTCTCAGAAACACCAGACCCAGAGTCCATCAGTTGCCCACCAAACCTTTGGGAGAGATTTTTGTCACCATGGCCAAAATAGGCTCCGATGGTACCTTGTGCCCAAGATGTATATCAAGGGGGGTTGCTAGCCCCACTCTCAGCCTCTAAGCTCTGCACAAGCAGGGACCTTGTTTTCCTCTCCGCTCTGCAAACAGTTGTTTAACAAGCACCCCCGAGCACCTTGTACTGCTTACCATACAGCTTGCAAACGTCTTTGCCCCCAAACACAGTTCGACACCACAGCCTGGCACTCACAGACTAAGGTATAAACGCATCCAAGCCAAGATTTCACAAAACAGTTCTGCATGCAACACACTCTGATATTTCCTGTTCTATTTTATTCCATTTTATTTTTTCAAATGTTGTCAGGACCAGAGTTTTAAAACACACTGTGTAGCCATCCAAAATAGAGAACACACATAAAGTACAGAACAAGAGAAACTCGTCTGTGCAGTGAGAAGTCAGAATGATGGTCCCTCTGGGGAGGGGGTGGTAGGACACAGGAAGGAGCTGCTCAAGGAATGTTTCTGTCTCAACATCATTGACGCGAATGTGCCCAGTTTGTGAAAACTCATGGAGCTAAACCTTTAGGATGGGTGCCCTTTTCTGTACGTATTTAATATCTTATTCCTCAATACATGCCTTCAAATCCCTGCAGTAAAGAACGCAAGAGGGGTTTATAATCTGGCTGGGAAAGCAAGACTCACACCCCTGCAGCAATGGAAACAAGACAAGACCTACTTAAAGCTAAAGCTGGTTGTACACACTCCAGCCCCGCCAAGGAGCCTCCAGCCTGCATGCTGTGTCTTTTGCAAAGCAGAGTCTGGGCAGGAGACCCAGGCCTTGCACACCCTTGAGCCCATTCTGACTGATACCCGGGCTGGTGAGGAAGGGGAGGCATCACAGGAAACAGGCCCCTCACCCCATCAATAAACAGGAACCGTGATTCTCAGCCTGAGAATGACAGGGTCTGGCAGGCTTCAGGGAGGAGGTGATGCCTGAGGCAGGTCTTCCTTGGAAGCCAGATAGAAACTGAAGAGGTGAAAACCCAGGTAGGGGAGGGGACATGTCAACAGGTGCAAGAACTGGTGGGAAGGAGCCTGAGTCAGGCTCCCAGGACAGTGACGACGGTGGGGGCTCCAGAGCACCTGGAGGAAACAGACCCCCCTGAAGAGATGGCCGAGGGAAAGGGACACAGTGGGAAATGCCTAAGGAAGACCCTCTGGCAGCTGTGTGCCCCACGGCCCCCTGTGGTCCAAGTGGGTGCCCACGAACAGTCCAGGTAACCCTTACCTGCCAGCCCGGCCAGGACGCCCAGCACGGTCAGGAAGCCTTCCCAGCTGCCCTGCATCTCCGCATGGTCTTCCTCGCCCTGGGAAAATAAAGCAAGCAGGTAAAAGCCCACACTGACGAGTGTCCGCCCTGCAGAGGTCTTCTGTGCCCTGCCAGCTCACATGTGCCCACAGACACGGCGGATCGGCACGTCTCAGGATGGTCAGCAGCAGCCTCACCTGGGAATGCATCAGAAAAGCACGTTCTTGGGCCCAGCTCAGACCACCTGGGGGGTGGGCCCAGCAATCCGTATTTAAATAAGCCTCCCGGGAGATTCTGGTGCTCGCCAAGTCTGAGAATCACTGAATTAATGATCCTACTCCCCGGTAAGCCTGCATATACGTGGAGGGTACAGATGGAACAGCCTGAGCTCTGAACTACGGAGCGAACTGCAGAGCCTGGGCTTGCTGCTATTCATTTCAGTCCCTCGTCCTGAGAAAACCATCCTGCCACGTTTGAGCTCGCATTCTCGAAAGGGAAGACAAGCAACACAAGGAACGAATAGATTACAGAGCCTATTAGAAGGTGGCAGTAGGTGTGGAGAAACTAGAAAGGGGGGTGTGCGTGGGGCGGGTTGGCTATCAATTCCGCAGGGTGGTCAGAGACAGGCTCCCGAGAAGCTGCGCGAGGGATGGTGATGAGGTGGGGCCTCAGCCACCTCCCCTGACATCTGTTGGAAGAGCTCTCCCTGCAGAAGAAGCCACAGGTGCAAAGGCCCTGGGGTGGGACCATGTCCGGAAGGTCTGAGGAAGTACAGAGAGGGCTTGTGGCAGAGGGGGGTGCCGAAGGGGTAAGGTCAGAGTTAGGGAGGTCAAGGTGGACTGAGTAAGGCCAGGCCAGCTGCCTGGCCTTTGAGGATCCTGCCGTGTACACCTCTTGGTCCTTCCTTCCGACCCCTCTGATCTTTGACAACCCTCCTGCTCACCCTGCAGTCCCGCATTTTTTCTCTTTGCCTTTCCCTTCTCCCCTGGGACTGGCCTATTCAAGGCACTCGCCACTACTGCTTGGTCCCACTGGAACACTTAGGGCTAAATCCCCTGTGTGCTGGCACACCAGGACCTGTCTGCCAAAACAATGCTCCTCAGCCTCAGGAAAGGGTCTCCTCATTTCAGACATCCCTCCATCTCCCCACCCCCGATGCGTGGAGCCCAGTGACCTGGGTGGTTCTCACGCTGGCTGTCGCATCCACACAGGTTCCGCAGCCTTGCTAGGGCGGTCCACCTGTCCCTCTGAAATAGGAGGTGCCAGGTCCCATCAGAGACCCCGAAGTGAGATTTTATAATGTGTTGACACACACATCCAGGGCTCCGACCTCCCTTTTTCTCAGGCAGGCCCTAGAAGACAGACCCCACAGCCAACCCAGGAGTGGAAATACAAGAACTGAAATCAGGATGGGAAACAACTGCCACACATCAGCTCGCAGGTATCTCCCCGACCTGCCGAATAAAACGGAGTGTCAGTGAGAAGGGTCGCAAAGATGCTCGGGCCCACAACCCACGCCCGACACAAAGGCACGTTGCTGGGCATCCACCACTCATGAGAAGGAAGGTGGAGTTTCCACCCTTGTTTCTATGATGTCTTTGGAAAGCCAAAGTGAGCAGGTGCACTAAACTATACGCATGCCACGGTTTGAAATATGTGTGCCGCAGTAGCATTCCACTGTGGAACCCAGCCCCTTGTAATAGTCTGAAATAGACTCAGCAAATCCCTAAAAATCGGTCTCGATAGCAAGTTATGCAGCAGCTGCACACAACCAAAATGAAATCACAGCCTTCCGAGACTGACCCAAGATCCAGGATCATTAAGCGCCAAATAAATCATTTCCTAATTTTCAAGCTTCAATTAACACAACTCCACAAGCAAACTGCTCTACCAGTCACCCGGAACTCCAGGCTCTGTCAGAGAAAGGAGGAAAAATGAAGCCATCTCGTTATGAAAGTTTACACATTTTACCGAAATCAATCATACCAAGCGTGGACCCGGCGCTGTTGGAACTGCAGCGATGGATTAAGGTCCATCAGGAAATACTTCTCGTCACTGATAAGCAGGTAGCCGCAGACGCAGAGGGAGAACAGATTACTTAACTCATTAAACGCCCCGTCTGCCAACATGCTCACACGTCATTCAATCTCTGCGTGAGAGAAGAGTCCGGCAGAAGCCACAGGGCAGGCAGTGCGGGGACTCGCCCAGAGCTCCGGGAACGGAGTCAGGAGGTTACTATCGCATGGGTTTATGACGGGATGGCATTTGAAGGGTGTGTGCAGTTGGGACGCTGTCACAAAGCTGACTTCAAGTTTAACTGACACCAGATGAATTGCTTTGATTAAAAGAGAACATACGCCAGGCATTGTTCGTTAATATCTCTGTGGGGTAGTTTGAGCGGGACGTGAGATTTGACTTCTCATTCATTTCATCATGGCAGACTTGAAGTACCTACTTTTAGTTGAAAAACTGCTAAGTCTTCTTAAAGTCCTCAGTCATCAAATTGTATGAAACATGCAGGATTTAAACCCCACGCCAATTCCCGAAGACTCCAGCTCTGTGTGCCCCTCCATTCAGGGCCTGCCTTCTCAGAACTCCAGAAACTTCTGAAGGACTCTGCGTTCCCTGAGCCCTTCCCTCTGGAGGGGAACGAGTCTGCCCGGTGGACAGCCCGGGTCCCGCGTCACAGTAATTTTCCGGCGTTTGACTCCTGACTCCCCAGATTCCAGCCGAGTCTCAGCTTTCGGCCATGCCCAAGTGACAGTCACTGATGAGAAACTGTCGCGCATTCCTGAACTCTCAGAGAAGCCCACTCCTTTAATGTTTAACCCTGTGGAAGCTGCAAAACAAAGGTCATGTGTGTGATCACCGGCACTTTCCGGGAACCCGGCAGGAGAAAGCCAGGAGGCAAAGGCCGGCCCAGGAGGGCCGCAACCCCGACTCGTCTCACCTGGGACAGGTAAATCTCCTCCTCGGGGCGTCAGCGAAGGATCTCCCTTTCCTAAAGGCCTCCTGGCTGCGCCCGTGCTCCCCGCAGACGTGGGGACAGGCTCCGTCTGGCCTAGAGATCCTGATCCCTCTGCGCCAGGGAAGCGGAAGTTGCTCGGCAGTGGCTCTGTCGGGTCAGGGCCGTGCCAGACACACGGCAGGGCCCCCGCGGGCCCCACGCTCCAGGAAGGCGTGAGCACGTCAGAGGGCGGCTTTCCCCGTTAATCATCAGCCAGCCCCGCCCGGCAGCCGCTGCAGGAAGTGCAGGCCCAGGCTGGGCGCGCAAGGGCCTCCGGCCGGCCTGTCCTCCCGGCTGGGCCTCAGCGGCCTCTGCCTCCTCTTCCTCCCGGCAGACTTTCTCGAGTCCTCCAGAGCCCAGACCCCGCGCAGGCCCACCCCGGCCCCACTGTTCGCTCCCGCCAGCCCCCGGTAGAGTCTGGCCCGGCCGCCTGCGAAGGCCCAAGGGCTGGAGAAACCGGTTCCTTCTCCCAGCCAGCCACCTGGATATCCACAAGAACAAGTCCTTTTAAGAAAGAAAAAATGTCCTGAGGGCGAAGTCCTCTGGAACGTGACAGCCCTGGGAGTGAAGCACAGTCTCCTGTGGACGTTCGCCTGCGAGCTGCTGGGGAGGGCAGATGCCCGGCTCCTCGGCTCTGCTCCCCGTGACTGTTTCTGGAAAAGACTGTGAAAAACAGGAATTGATAGTAAGAGAATATACTTTGCTTTGTATGAGACGAATTGTTTAAGATTAGAGATTAGAGAAAAATGTGCTCTCTCTGATTCTAACTGATGCTATTTGCTTCTGTGACCGTGCTCGCTTTTAGTTGTTTGTTAAATGTAGTTAATCAGAAACAGGAATGAGAGCAGGAGTGACTCCATGACAGGCTGAACTTCCTGGAGTAGGCCTAAGTTTCGGTTTTCCCGAAACGACACCGCCCTTTCCCCCTGAAATGACGCTGACCTCAACTGGCGCGGGCGCGAAAATCCCGAGGCTTGGAGCCACTTTTAAAGGAACCAATCAGGAGCCAACACGATCAGCCACTTTTAAAGGAACCAAAACTAAGGAGGGGAGGGGGGAAGGTGTGCCCAGTGTGTCATGTGAAACCTGTGTCTCGTGTGTAAAACAGAAAAAGGTATAAAAGCTTAACCTCTACCCCAAGGCGGGGTCCTAGCCCTTAAAAGAGGCCACTGCGTTGGTGCTCTGGGACTTGGACCCTAGCTCGAGCTAGCCAATAAACTCCTTTGCCATTTGCAGCCTCGGTGACTCTGCCTCTCTGTTCCTGGGGCCGAGGGGAACCAGCTCTAACAACTGTCTCCCCAAATCCTGTTAGTTAGCATCATATTCGACTGTCCGCTTTTTATCAGTTCTTTGCGAATACCTGGCTTGTCGCCCCCATTCCATTTTAATCTCGTCAGGGGCCTCAAGTTCAAGGACATCTGCACATAACAGGCACCACCTACGTTGTAGCTCACATAAATAAAGTGAGACGCATTTGCATCCATTGCAATGCAGAGTAAAAAATAAATTTAAAAAATTGAAAATAAAAATAAAGTAAGACACAAAAGCAAATAAATGGGGGCCGAGGAGAAGAATCCTGTTCCTTCCGTTGAAGGGGATCAGAATGCACCCCCCAAAATATGCCACTTTGGCACAAAGATTATTTTAAGTTGGAAACAATTGAGATTCAAGAGATGCAAAAAAAAAAAAAGCCTTCTCAGAACTTCCCTTATGTGACTAAAAGCAGAAACTTCTGGGAAATAAAGTTGCCATAAATTCCTCTTCAGGGTGGCTCTACTCCCAGAAAAGAGAATGAGAATAAAACCTACCCTAGATCCCTTCTTCACGGCAGCATCGTGACCTTGAAGAGGACAGAAAAACCATTCACGCATGTATAGACAAATGTTATCACCAACATTTTTACTTCCCATCCATTCTGCTGAAAACCTGTTTGTCTCTCCTAAAGAAACGCATTCGTTCTTCCCATAAGAAGCCTTTCTCCCCCTTCCCCTTTCCCTGCCAACTTAGATATATTAATCTAAGCCTTTAACTCTAACCATTAAATGAGACACTCACTTTCTCTGTAGGCTCCCACATGCTTTTGACATAAATCTTTTTCTGCTGCTAATCTGTCTTTTAAATATCAGTTTAGTTCGCAGGCCCCAGGCACTGAACCTAAGAGGATGGGGGAAAATTATTTCTTTCTCCTGCTGCACAGTAACTGGACGTTTTGGTCTCATGTGTATCCTTTTTAGCCATCCCAAGTAACTGTATCAGGATTAGGTCAGCCGTACTTCACATTTGGTGAACCCTGAAATTTACCTCCCCTAACTTCACTGGCTCTGTGTCCTTTCTCCTGGTGGAAACTCAGTAGACCACAACTGCCATTAAAAAAAAAAAGTCATATTGAAACATCTTCCCTTTTACAACTAAGACATTATTTTTGAGCTTCTACTACATGTCTCCCCAAAATTCACATGTTGAAGCCCTAACCCCCAATGTGATGGTATTTGGAGATGGGGCCTTTGAGAGGTAATTAGGTCATGAGGGTGGAGCCCCCATTGTAACTGGCTCCATGAACAAATGTCAGTGACCCCTGCGTGCTTTTTACAATCCTCTCCCTTAACTATGAATACTTGACCTTTTGAGTTGTTTCCCAGAAACGATGGACTCAAACTCCTGGCCTTGAGTGATCCCTCCCGCCTCGGCCTCCCAAAGTGTTTGTGAGCCACCCCTGCCTGAAATGATGGATTTCCTGCAAGACAAAGGAGTTGATGATGCCACCCCCTCAACCTGCCCCAAAGCACATGGCCGCTCCTTAAAAAGCCCACGATCTCCATGAGTCAGAGAGACGGATTTGAGGCAGCTTCTCCAGTTCTCGCCACAAGACGTCTGTCGTATTAAAAAAATTTCTTTGTTCCTTGGCGATCCTCATCGTCTCAATAATTGGATCTCTGTGTGACAATCAAGTGGACCTAGACAGAAACCCCTTTGCAGTTTCAACAGCACCATGATGGAATTAGGGTCCTTGTAAGAATAGGAAGAGACAGAG